TACCCATGGACAAGTCTAAGATGCAGCACAGATTTATTAAACAGTTTTATAGCTGGAAGTAGGAAACTTCATGTCGCAGCTCCTCACACAGGGCACCATCTGTCGCAGTGGCGACGGTTGTCGGGGCAGCGGAGACAATAACCAATGCCACAACTCTTACAGAGAAGTGGGGCCAGGAGGGTCACTCTGAGGAGTCGAACCCAGCTTCAGTCCCAGGAGTTTATTTTATAGTCAATACAGAAAAAAGTGAAGCAAATAACAGAACAATGGGCTTTGGGTGAATAACAATAAGTTTCGGGCAAGGGAGAAGGAATTCAGGTAAACAAGCCAATCAGTAACAATAGGTTTGCAAAAACAAGTCGTGACAAGTCTCAACATGCTGGGGACAAGTCTCAACATGCTGTGCAGCATAGAGGCCTTTATACATCCATATTTTAATGGCACATATCCCCAAAACTTCACACTAAATACATACTTTATCAGTGAAGGTGTGCAATTTCAGAAAAATTAAAATGGGGAACAAGGGAGTGTGTCCTAGAATGAAGTCAATAATTGTGTAAGGATAGAAAAAAACCTAGAAGGATGGAAACCTATCTGCTAAAAGCTATTAAATGGTCCCACTGGAAATTGAGGAAGATGTTGAGAGGAAACACTTTCACTTTTTTCTTGCTGTATTTTTTCTATATTGTTTGTAGTTTGTTATAATAAACTTGTACTACTTTCATACTAAGAACTTCTTATAAACCACAACAAACTAAAAGGCAAATAGCATTTATATAAATAACAGGTATCTGAGTGGTGAAATTGTGGGACCATTTTCTTCCATCATATTCCTATATTTTAAAATCATCTAATAATATTTAAGAAATACGGGAAGCCAAAACAAAGGGTTTACAGAAATATAAGAAAAAGTCAGTACACTTAACATATAAAGATCTACTGCAAATTAATTTAAAAAGATAAAAATCCCAATACAGACATAAGCAAGAAAATATGCTAAAATGGTAACTAGGGTGGCTGAATTTTCTTCGTAAGTCACTGTATTTCCGAAATTCTCTACACTTACAATCAGATAAAATGCATTTTTTTTAAGTGCAGAGAAAACAACAATTAGATCTGGGGTTTGAGGACATACCAGAGAAAATAAAGATCTGCAAATTTAATTAAAAGAATCATAAAACGCTTAAAAGAAAACATTGATACAAACTTAAGTCCAGGTTAACAACCGAACAGTGTGCAAACATGGTCTGTTTATTTTGCAAAGAACAAAATATCCAGAAAGAGGAAAAGGCAAAAACAAAAAAAAACTTAAAATCCCTGGTAAGGTGGAGAAAGCACTGTGCTAGGCACATGAAATTAGAAAGTTGCAAGTATTCTCACAGATAATACAAAAGGGCCAAAACCTCTTTAAAACTCTGAAGCTTTTGAAGTCCTCTGCTCTAGGGGTTGTAATCCTAAAGTTGTTAAAACTCCAGTAAGACAGTAAGATTTAACAAGATAATGCATTTCTAGACCTCCCCAATTAGTAGAGTGGGAATAAACTAATATTAAGTAATTAATTAATTGTACTTTAGTAAGTTTTCATTTTTCCCCCTTAAACAAGTCATTATTAGCTATATGGGAGTATCTTGGCTTAATTTTCCATAGTTAGTAGAACCAAAATTTTAATCCTTATTTAGCACAAGTAGTTACTTCTAAATTCTCTTCCATTATTTTAAGTGCAGACTATTATCATGCCTGGTAAAGTAGATGGTCAGTGAAAAAGAGGAAGATCCTCAAGGAGATGGATTGACACAGTGGCTGCAACAATGGGCTCAAGTAATAACGATTGTGAGGATGGCGCAGGACCCGGCAGTGTTTCATTCTGTTGTACGTACACAGGGTCGCTATGAGTCAGAACCAACTCGATGGCACCTAACAACAACAACTTTTATATTAGTTTCTAATGACCAAAAGGAAGAAAAATCACTAACCCACTCCACCGTCAGGCACTTCAGACACAAACATTTCCAATTCAGCAGCCACTTCTTTCATTACCTATTACCAGAGTGAAACTGATTTGGGAGAACAGTGCATAAGAGCAGAAACAAGAGTAATAGTCTGTATCTTGTTGTTAAGTAGATTGAGGAAAGAAAAGAATGAGAACATGGTATTAAGTTCAGCAAAATAATCTTGGGCAGGGGACAGGAGAATGGAAGGAAAAGCAAAATCCCTTGACTAAAAAGCCATCAAGTAACTCAACAGTAGGTAAAACTGAAAGAAAGGGGAAAAGAAATGAGAAATTTGCATGTGACTAAGTATCGTACAAGGAGCCCTGGTGGTACAATGGTTAAGAGCTTGGCTGTTAACTGAAAGGTCATCAGCTCGAACCCACCAGCCGCTCCTGGTGAGAAAGATGTGGCAGTTAGCTTCCATAAAGATTACAGCCTTGGCCCCCAGACACCCTTTTAACTCAGTACTGAAGTCACTCCTGAGGTTCACCCTTCACCCAAAGATTAGACAGGCCCGTAAAACAAAATGAGAAAAAATCGGCACACCAACCCAGGGGCAAGGATGAGAAGGCAGGAGGGGACAGGAAAGCTGATAATGGGGAACCCAGGGTTGAGAAGGGGAGATTGTTGATATGTCGTGGGGTTGGCAACGAATGTCACAAAATAATATGTATATTAATTGTTTAATGAGAAACTAATTTGCTCTATAAACCTTCATCTAAAGCACAATTTTAAAAAAATTACTAAAAGACCAAAAAAAAGATTACAGCCTTGGAAACACTATGTGGCAGTTCTGCTCTGTCCTACAGGATCACTATGAGTCAGAATTAACTCACTGGCAACGGGTTTGGGCTTTTTATCACATAAAACATTAGTTTGGTCAAAATCATACATCTGATATTCAACAGATTATTCTTTAAGTTCCATATAACAAGAACAGATTTATTTATTACTAGTGAGAAACTATAAAGTACACAGGAAACAACCTATTATAGGTGATCAAGCTTCCCAGGATTTGGTCAGGAAGTTTTATAAAAATAATGCCTTAAAAGTCAAGTAGTTCTTTCAGCTTCATCATCATCATTACCTCAATAAATTACTATCACTATCCTTTGCCCAATTATCAAAAATACCTAGAACTGATTAAACCTTCATGACAGTAAAATCAGATGAGGGGTCAGAGTTCACTAGAACTCATATTACTGGTTTCCACTGAGATGGAGTTTTTTTCTTTTTTTATCTAAGGCTCTCGAAACCTTAAGTAAACAAAACCAACAGCCAGTGAAAACTGACACACCCAGAAACTCTCGGCAAAACATTTACTTCATAGCTCACAATAAATAGACTGTCCTATTCCAGCTACAAGTGGCCTTGCCTGGAGCTAAAGGTCGAAAGAAAACACTCTCTAGTACCTCACACATTATAAAACTTCGGGGAAAAAAATGAAAGGGGGAAGAAAAGAATGAAAGAATTTCAAATAGAGAGCTGGGGCACAAAACTGGAATCTATCATCTTAGTGCCACATACATGTCCATCCTTTCTAAAACAGTGTCATTTTTGCTCCTTAATTAACTAGAAAGTATTACACCTACATTTCTAGATTTCTTCAAAAATCAGACTTATTGTATGCTATAGCTAAAGGATCCTTCAAGATTAGCAACGTCTTTACCCTAGACTTAACCTGTAGCACCCTATCCTTATCCCTCCCCACCCTATCCCACTCCCAAGAGCAAAAAACAAACCTACCCTGGCACCAATGTCCAGTATTCTCAGCTAGCCTTCATGGCAAGATAACAACCTGGTCAAAGAATCCTGTAGTGGCAGTTCCTGAGGATGCTCACAACTGCATCCTAACAGAGAGTTTCTGAGAAACAAAGTCTCACTCCAAATATCTCTAAAGACAGTTTAGGTATCAGTAACAGACTCACTGGAGAGATACTTTGGAGAGAGGGACCTTCTCAGCAGTTGGCAAAACATAACATATAGGAAGCCACCTACTGGTATGAGTAACAGTATAAACAAAAGAGGAAATCGGTCTAATCTCTCTCTGCCTCACCAATGTATTTTATAGGTAAATGTTAGTGCAGAATTAGTCCCTGTGGTTTGTCATACTGTTATCCATGTAAAAGGTTTAAAAGATCTGCCACCTGCAACCATTCCAAAAGCACCCTTGCAAATCTTGACCTAAAGCAGCACACTAGGCAATGTTTCCCACTGCTGGTGGGAATGCAAAACTGTGCAGCCTCTTTGGCAAACAGTCTGGCAGTTCCTTAAAAGTTAAACACAGAGTTACCACATGACCCAGTAATTCCACTCCTACGCATATATCAAGTGAAAACATACATCCACACAAAAACTTGTATGTGAATATTCATAGAAGCATTACTACTCATAACAGCCAAAACGATAAACAGAAAAAATAAAGGAGGTGGGGTGGTGGAAAGAGTTGTATTTGTCCTGCAAAGGCCAACTTCTTTCTGTACCATTCCTTTAAAACAGGGTTTGGAACCAGTTTGGTCGGGTTCAAACCCTTGCTGAGAATTTGCATTTCTAACAAGTTTCCAGGTAATGCTAATCTGCTGATTAGGGACCAGTTCTGAGAACCACTAATAGAGCAGTGCTTCTCAAAATTTATCATACATAATAATCACCTGGGGACTTGGTTAAACTGTAGCTTCTGACTCAGTATATCTGGAGTGGAAATACAAATTCTCCGCAGGGGTTCAAAATGGAACAAACTGGTTTGAAGCTCTGATTTAAAAGCCATTTCTTTTCAGTGCTTAGCTCCACAACTTAGAAATGGAAATCTGATTTTTAACGTGTAGTGAAACAATTTCCACTTACCTCACCCTCTTGAAATTCTGAGTAAAAGCTGAGGCAACAACTTTTGTAAAATACACAGACAATAACTCTAAGAACAAAGTTTAATAAAGCACTAAAAATCAAGCTTAGATACAGAAAACTAGGAGTTTAATAGAAGACTGAAAGTTTGCTGATTTTTTTACTTACCCACTCTTCGACATTGGGGGGCTGCTCATCATAGACGTGTTCCTTGTCCCACAGAATATTTGACCTGTCGTAATGGTCTATCTTTCTTCGAGTTTTCACGGCAAAAAAAATTATTAAAGCAAAAGCCACAATAACCAGGAACCCCAGTACAATGGCAATGGCCTAAAACGGGATTAAAGATATTAACATAATTAGGTTTTACTTGCTTACTGTATCCCAGTCTACTATCCTATACAAATTGTTAGAATCCTCATCATCTAAGGCCCTACCTAATATCCATGGTTTAATTGATATAAAACAGAAGCAAATGGTTACATTTTAGAATTATCATAAAATCTAACCCATACCAACTGGGCTAAGGCCAGCAACACACACACCTTAGTTCAATCCTCATAAGATGCTTAAAGTTAGGTACTATATCATCATCCTCATTTCAGAGTTGAAGAAAACGAGTTCCAAAGTCTGTGTACTTAGGGGTTGTATTTTCATAAACAGATGAGAATGGCCAGTAATTAACTCAATCATTAGTATACTTCATACTTCTAAGGGGTTTGAAAATGTTTTCTCAAAAGTAGCCTTAACGTCTGGGGTCTTAAAAGTTTGCAAGTGGCCATCTAAGATGGATCAATTGGTCCCAACCACCTGGAGTAAAGGAGACTGAAGAACACCAAAGACACAAGGAAAGTATTAGCCCAAGAGACAGAAAGGGCCACATAAACCAGAGACTTCATCAGCCTGAGACCAGAAGAACTAGATGGTGCCCAGCTACCACCAATGACTGCCCTGACAGGGAACACAACAGAGAGTCCCTGATAGAGCAGGAGAAAAGTGGGGTGCAGAACTCAAATTCTAGTAAGAAGACCAGACTTAATGGTCTGAGACTGGAGGATCCCCGGAAAGCATGGCCCCCGGATTCTCTATCAGCCCAGAACTAAAACAATTTCCGAGGCCAACTCTTCAGACAGGGATTGGACTGGACTGTGGGACATAAAGTGATACTCATGAGGAATGTGCCTCTTAGCTCAAGTAGATGCAAGAGACTAGACAGGCAGCTTCTGTCCAGAGGTGAGATGGGAAGGCAGAGAGAGTTAGGAGCTGGTCGAATGGACATGGGGAATCAGGGGTGGAAAGGAGGAGTGTGCTGTCACAGTATGGGGAGAGTAATTAGGGTCACATAATAACGTATGTATAAATTTTTATCTGGGTGACTAACTTGAAATGTAAACATCATTTAAACTACAACAATAAAAAAAAAAGTAGCCTTAAATACCTAGTCATGCTTATAATCTTATTCATTTAATACATGCTTAGTAAATCTTTTTACATTGAAGGTAAATTTCATAGAGGATCTGCATTACTATAAACTGTGAGGACAAGGATCTAACCAAGCTATAAATTATAGCAAAGGGACTAGCAATGATTCATTCAGTCTGGCCAGTTTCTGTTTTACAAGTCTACTAAATACTTACTAGAAAGAGTCTGTGCAATGAAACTTCCTATTTTTAGCATTTCTCCCAATGGCTGATAGGTATTAAGTTGTACCTTGGCCTAAGGAGCACCTGAAGTTAAGGCAGGAACCAAGCCTCTGCCCTGGATGTCCACTAAATAACAGGGGACTCTACTTCCAGCTGTTTATCTGACAGTGACACCCTTTTTCAAAGAATACAGGTTTTGGGTAGAGAACTAAGAGGGAGGGTACCCTTAGCCCCTATTTATCACAGATACATCTGAATGGCAACAACAAATCTCTGAAAACCTACATTTAAAAGGAAAACATTTCAGAAAAAAATAAAAAAAAATAAAAAAAATAAAAAAAAAATAAAAGGAAAACATTTCAGACTTCAAAATAATGACAGACAGTTACAGAAGGTCTAACCCCAAAAGTGTGACTCATTCAGGTAAAAGAATGGGAATTCCTGAGTCATGTAAAGAAAAAAACAAAACAGCAAGAAAAAAGATTAGCAACTCAGAAATGTTTAATTTGTTAATAAAAGGTATGCAGACTGGAAAAGAAGTAAAATTATCTCTACTCATGGATGATATGATCCTATATATAGAAAATTCCAAAGAGTCCACAAGAAAACTTCTAGAGCTAATTGAAGAATTTAGTAAAACAGCAGGGTACAAAATCAACAAACAAAAATCAGTTGGGTTTCTATACACCAGCAATGAGATATCTGAAAGGGAAATTAGGGGAAAAATTCCATTTACAATAGCATCTAAGAGAATAAAATACCTAGGAATAAATCTAACCAGGGACAAGAAGGACTAACACAATGGAAACTATAAAAAATTGCTGAAAGACATTAAAGAAGACTTAAATAAATGGAAAGATGTTTCATGTTCACGGATTGGAAGATTTCATATTGTTATGATGTCAATGCTACCCAAAGAGATCTACAGATTCAACACAATCCGGATCAAAATTCCAACAGCCTTCTTTACAGAAGTAGAAAAACCAATCCTCAACTTTATATGGAATGACAAAAACCAAAAAGTCTGTTGCCATTGAATGGATTCTGATTCATAGAGATGCTATCGGATGGAGTAGAACTGCCCCTTAGGGTTTCCAAGCAGTGGCTGGTGGATTCGAACTGCTGACCTTTGGGTTAGCAGCTGATCTCTTAATCACTACGCCACCAGGGCTCCATATGGAATGACAAAAACAACAAAAAAACCCACTGCCATTGTGTTGACTAGGATTCATAGCAACCACATAGGCTGTACATCTTTATGGAAGCTGACTGCCACATTTTTCTCCCACCCCAAATAGCACCATGATGTTGAAAGAGAAGAAGTATACAGCTACAGTAATCAAAACAGCCTAGTACTGGTATAACAATAGACACACACAGCAATGGAATAGAATTGACAGCCCAGAAATAAACTCATACATACGGTCAACTGATTTTTGACAAGGATGCTAAGTCCATTCAATGGGGGAAAGAAGAGTCTCTTCAATAAATGGTGCTGGGAAAATTGGATTTCTACATACAGAAAAATGAAACAGGATCCATGCTTCATGCCACACAAAAAAACAAATTCAAAATGGATTAAGGACCTAAATGCACAAACACAAACCATGAAATTCTTAGAAGAACAAGGAGGGGAGATGACGTCAGGCCTAGCTTCCAGCAATGGCTTCTTTAATATAAATAACAAAAGCACAAACAGCAAAAAGGACAAATTAAATAAATGGGACGTCATAAAAATGGAAAACATTTATTCATCAAAAGACTTTACCAAAAAAGCGAAAAGACAAGCTACTAACTGGGAGAATATCTTGGGAAACCATATATCCGACAAGAATCTAATAACAAAAAAATACATAAAACTCCAACAACAACAAATAACCCAATCATAAAATGGGCAAAGGTCTTGAACAGACATTTCACCAAAGAAGACATGCAAATGGCCACCAAACACATGAAAAGATGCTCAGCGTCATTTGTCATCAGAGAGATGCAAATCAAAACCACAATGAGATACCATTTCACTCCCACTAGGGTGGCTAAGGGAAAAAAACCCCGAAAATAACAAATGTTGACAAGGATGTCGGGAAACTGGAACACTTATCCATTGCTGGTGGGAATGCAAAATGGTACAAAAGTTGTACCAAACACTGTGGTGGTTCCTCAAAAAACTAAAACTAGAACTATCATATGACCCAGCAATTCCACTCCTAGTATATAACCAAAAGACTTGAAAGCAGAAAATCAAAAAGAGACTTGTACACCAATATTCAACGCAGCACTATTCACTACAGCCAAAAGATAGAAACAACCTAAATGCCCATCAACAGATGAATGGATAAACAAACTGTGGTATATACATACAATGGAATACTACTTAGCCAGCAGGAGGAATGAAGTATTGATACATGCAACAGTATGGATGGAGCTGGAAGACATTATGCTGAGTGAACTAAGTCAATCACAAAAGGACAAATATTGTATGAATTCACTTATATAAAAAGACAAGAAAAGGCCAATGTATAGAGATCAATGTTTATTAGTGGTAACCAACGGTGGCAGGGAGGGGAAAAAGGGGGTTAACTGTGATGGAAAAATTGCATTAAGGGTAGGGTTGCACAGCCGATTATTGTAACTGCTGTCAATAAGTTGTACACCTGTAAAAAGTTGAACTGGCAAAAGTTGTGTGATAGATACATTTACAACAATGACCAAAAAAAAAGGAGGAGCTGTTAAGGCTGCTTATGTACAACCAAACACTCATGGGATCTGGTTCCTTGGTTTGGAGGTTTAGGGTCATGGTTTCATGGGACGTCCCAGTTAACTGGCCTAATAAAGTGTTCAGTGCTTCTGTTCTACCTCTTAGTTCACTGCATAGTCCTGGAGTCTTATAAGCTTGCAAGTGGCCATCCAAGGCACAACAATTGCTCTCTATTCACCTAGAGCAACACAGGAAGAAAGAGAGTGTTATGGATTGAATTGTGTCCCCCAAAAATGTATGTCAACTTGGCTAGGCCATGATTCCCAGTACTATGTGATTGTCTACCATTTTGTGATCTGCTATAATTATCCTATGTGTTATAAATCCTAACCTCTATCATGTTAATGAGGCAGGACTCGATCTACAAGATTTGGTTGTATCTTGAGTCACTCTTTTGAAATAAAAGAGAATGGAACAGAGAGGAGAGGGACGTCCTACCACCAAGAAAGAAAAGCCAGGAGCAAGCATGTCCTTTGGGCTCCTAGACCAGGGAAGATTGATGACAAGGACCTTCCCCCAGAGCTCACAGAGAGAGAAAGCTTCCCCTGGAGCTGGCACCCTAAATTTGGACTTCTAGTTTCCTCAACTGTGAGAGAATAAACTTGTTTGTTAAAGCCACCCACTTGTGGTATTTCTGTTATAGCAGCACTAGATAACCAAGACAGAGAGTCAGGAATAGGAGGAATATATGGAATGTGTGTCCAACTGCCTCCATGAACAACTGCCTCCTTTGCCATGAGACCAGAAGAACTGGCTGGTGTCCGGCTACCATTACTGAACATTTTGATCAAAGATTCCATAGGAGAATCCTGATGAAAAAGGGGAAAATGCAGAATAGAATTTCAAATTCTCATGGACTCCAGACTTCCTGGAACCATGAAGGTTGGATGAATCCCTGAAATTACTGCCCTGAGATAATCTTTAAACCTTAAACCAAAAACATGCCCTGAAGTCATCTTAAAACCTAATAATAGTTTTGTTTAACTAGTAAAAAAGGTCTGCCTTGAGCATTATGCTCTTTTAAGAACTATCTATATGGGATCAAATTGACAATTAGCAACTCAAAAGATTAGATAGGAACCTTAGGGGGCAGTGAGTTGATGTTAATGAGGGAGGAACAACTCAGAAAAAGAGGGTGAGAATGGTTGCATAACTCAAAGAATTTACTCAATCACTAAATTGTACTTGTAGAAACTATTATATTGGTGTATGTTTTGTTGTGTATATTCTCAACAACAACAAAATAAATAAAATTTAGGAAAAAAAGAAATGTTTAATTTGTTAATATAATTAGGATGACTCATGGTTACTAACGGTAGGGTTCTCAACTCTGCCTGCATATTTGAATCATCTGTGCAGCTTTTAAAAATATTCGCATCCACTTTGAAAACTACAAAACACTTTTGAAAGAAATTAAAGACCTAAATAAATGGAAAAAATCCTATGTTCGTGGTTTGGAAGACTCGCTATTGTTAAGATGGCAGTACTCCCCAAATTGATCTACAGATTCAATGCAACCCTTCAAAATCCCAGCTGGCTTTTTTGCATAAAGTGACAAGATGACCCTAAAATTCACATGGAAATGAAAAGGACTTAAACAGCCAAAACTTTCTTGAAAATGAAGAACAAAGTTGGAGGACTCAGAATTCCCAATTTCCAAACTTACTACAACACTAAAATAATCAAGACAGTGTAGCACTGGGATAAGGATAGGCCTATACATCAATAAAATAGAATTTAATGTCCAGACAATTCAACAGGGAAAGAACAGTCTGTTCAACAAATGATGCTGGGAACTGGACATCCACATGCAAAAGAATGTTGGACCCCTTCTTTATATCATGCACAAAAATTAACTCAAAATGGATCATAGACCTAAACTATAAGAGCTAAAGTTATAAAACTATTAGAAGAAAACATAGGAGTAAATCTTTGTGACCTTGGATTAGGTAAAGCCATCTTATATATGACACCAAAAGCACAAGAGACAAAGAAAAATTAAATAAACTGAATGTCATCAAAATTAAAAACTTTTGTGCTTTTTAAAGGGTATCATCAATACAGTGAAGAGAGCCCACAGAATGAGACAAAATATCTGCAAATCATATATCAGATAAAGGGGTTATATTGAAAGTATACTAAGAATTCTTGCAACTCAATAATAAAAAGACAAATAACACAATTAAAAAATGGGCAAAGGATCTGAAGACATTTCTTCAAGGAAGATAAAAAAATGGCCAATAAGCACATGAAAAAATGTTCAACACCATTAGCCATTAAGGAAATGCAAATGAAAGCCACAATGAGGTTACCACTTCACACTCACTGGGATGGCTACAATCAAAGAGACATATAATAACAAAGCGTGAAGGTATGGGAAACTGGAATCCTCATACATTGCTGGAGGGAATGTAAAATTGTACAGCCATATTGGAAAACAGCCTATTAGTTCCTCAAAAGGTTAAATACAGTTATCATATGATCCAGCAATTCCATACCTAGGCATATACCCAAGAGAAATGAAAAACATACATCAACACAAAATCTTGTATGTGAATATTCACATTAGCATTATTCATAATAGTCAAAAAGTAAAAACAACCCACATGCCCATCAACTGATAAATAAACAAAATATGGTATATCCATACAATGGAATATTATTCAGCCAAAAAAACAGAGTAGTGATAACGTGCTACAACATGTATGAGCCTTGAAAATATTATGCTAAGTGAAATAAGCCAATCACAAAAGACCATATACTGTATGATTCCATTCATATGAAAAGTCCAGAACAGGCAAATCTATAGAGATAGAAAGTAGATTAGTGGTTGCCTGGTGCTGAGGGGGCTGGGGGAATTGGGGAGAGACTGCTAATGAGTATAGGGTCTCTGTTCGCAGTGAAGAAAATATTTTAAAAGTGATTGTCGTTCAATGAGAAACTATTCGTTCTGTAAACCTTCATCTAAAGTACAATTAAAAAAAATTTAAAAAGTGACTGTTGTGATGATTGTATAACTCTGAATATATCAAAAACATTGAATTGTACTTTAGATTAGTGAATTGTATGGTATGTACATTATATCTTAATAAAGCTGTTAAAAAAATACTGACATCTATCCCCTCCCCCAGATTCTGATTTAACTGGTCAGCTGGGGGACTACTTTGACACCAGTATTTTTTAAAAGTTCTCCAAGTGATCATACTGGACAGCCTGAGTTGAGTCTCTGACCTAAGGAGAAGGAGGAAAAGAAGCAAACTACCCATACCTCTTGGGGATCCACCACACAGTAGTGATATAAATATTGATCCACATAGAGTCCAGAAACTGCAGGTGTATAAAATTGGTTGCAGAGAGCATATATTTGAGAACTGTAAATAGATCCAGAAGCCTGGGCAGTTGGGTTGACTCCCATTATGTAGACGATTGTGGCAATAAACACCATGATGCCCAGGATAGCACTTGATATTATCACGGTCAAGTAATACGTTCTTGTTCTGGATATTTCAGATTTTAAAACGCTGGTAACAAATATCACCAATCCAGCAATGAAAGAAAAGGCAGCCATGGCCAGCAGGAAGCCCTTTGCCGCTCTCGGATCTGTGTAGCCTCCTCCATAGCCATAACCATAGCCATAACCATAGCCGTAGCTACTTCCATAGCTACCAAAGCCACTTCCTCCGTAAGGATAGCCTCCCAGTAAGCCAGTTCCATAGCCTCTGTCCCAGGCAAGTGTAGAAGCAACACAGGCAAATATGGCAATGCACATCACGATAATGAGCATAGAGAGAATCCGAATCACTCCTGGAGGAGAGGTCCATTTGTAGAAGTGAAGAATTTCATCTTCTGGGTAGAAGGAATATGCTGGCTGAGAGAGCATTGGTCGATCATGCATCTCTCCACCATATATGTCATTGCTTGGTGCATAATGATTTGGTTTGCTGAAATGCACAGGAAAACATTTCCAGTTAGCACTTTTTGGTGGTTTGAAACAAAAGAACATATAAAGTATTTGGAATAATTTAAAGAAACCATTGGCTAATGAAACTATTATTAGTACTGGCCCACTAAGAACAGTAAGGATATCTGTGCATCAGAATCACTTAGGTAGCTTGTCAAAACATAGACTACTGGCCCCATCCATGGCTGGACAGGTTTCCAGATAATGCTGATTTGGCCACACTTTGAGAACCACTACTCAAGCACTCTAGCACACTACAGAGCAGAGAGTCTCAAAATCTGCTGCATATTAGAATCATCTAGAGAATGTGTGAAAGTCTCAGATAGAGCACTACATATCAGTTAAATCATTTTTGGGGACAGGGACCCAGGCAGTTTTGAACAATGACTTTAACCCTTTTGCCTATGTGACTCAAGATCAGTGCATTCAGACATGACATTTATACTGGTCTACCTGGGGCCATAGGGTCCTGAGTGGTGCATAGTTTGTGCTCGACTACTAAAGGATGGCAGTTCAAACCCACCCAGTGGCACCATGGAAAAAGGCCTGGCAATCTACTTCCATAAAGACTATGGCCAAGAAAACCCTATGGAGCAGTTTTACTCTGTAACACAGTGGGGTGGCCATCAGTAGGAATTGACTTGACAGCAACAGGTGTCTGAGGTCACATGCAATTACTATCAGCCTTGCTACTTAAGAAAGCATACTCATTCATTTATTCGTTTGACAACTATTTATTGGAGTTGCTGGACAGACATGTGCTGGGCACTATGCTCTGGGTACTGGGGATACACAAAGAAGATAGTATCACTCCATGCCCCTCACCAGGTTTTGTCGCCATCAGGGGAGTAAGACATTAAACAAATTACTTTGTGACTTTTAGTTACAGTTATGGTAAGTGTTACAAAGTAAACCAAGTATGCAATGAGGGTTCCTCAGGGTGACACCTAAATGAATCTTACATCTCCTTTATAAAGATACTTTGAAACTTCAGTAATTTAATCATAAACAGACTGCTTGTGACAGACACACTGGCATGTGGCCACAGTGAATCTAAGAGCTGCTGGTGCCACCAGGGCTCCTTTCTACAGTGGAATGGGTACATAAATTTTGGTATATCCATACAATGAAATATTACAGAGAAGCACTGTCCAATATGACAGCCACTAGCCACATATAATTATTGAGTACTTGAAATGTTGCTAATCCAAATTGGGATGTGCTGTAAATTTACAATACACAGTGGATTTCAAAGACTTAAAGTATAAAAAAAGAGGGTAAAGTATCTCCTGGATAATTTTTTATATCAATTAATTACACATTGAAATGATATATTAGGTTAAGTCAAACATATTATTAAAATTCATTTCGCCTTTTATTTTTAATGTGACCACAAGAAAATATAAAATTATATACATGGCTCATGTTATATTTCTATATTGCTATGACGAAAAAAATGATGAACTGTGAATAACTACATGCAGCAACATGAATAAATCTTATTAACAATGCTGAAAGAAGACAGAAAATACATATGGCATTATTATAAATTTAAAAACAAGTAAAACTGAACAGTATTTTCTAGGATATACAAGGTGGTAAAATAATAAAGAAAAGCAAGAGAATGATCACCATACGTCAGGATAGTAGCATCCTATGCAAAAGGAGAAAACATAGTAGACTTCTGAGGTGTTCTGTTTCTTGACCTGGGTGATGACAATATGGATGTTTGCTTTGTCTTTATTTATCATATCATACATATGTTTTGTGCCCTTTTCTATACTTCATCATTAATTCAAAATACACAAGTTATCAGGTTAATGGAGTACATGATTCAACTACTATATTCTCCAGCATATTTTAAGAACCACATAGTCAAAAAACAACTGTCACTACCATGTACAGGTACCACTAAGGAGGCTACACAAAAGGACCACAACACCTGCTGTAATTATCACACAAACAGGTAAAGCTACAAACTATTTAAAAGAAGAAATTCTTACCAATACTTGCTAGTAACTTTTAAATGTTAAGAATTTATTGCTAAGTCCCCAAGTGACCAAGGACTCCAAGAACCTTTAATTTTGCTTCATTTTCTATAATAAAAAAAAGCCAAACCCATTGCCACTGAATCGATTCCAACACATAGCAACCCTATAGGACACAGCAGAACTACCCGATAGGGTTTCCAAAGCTGTAATCTTTACGGAAGCAGAATGCCACATCTTTCTCCTGCAGAGTGGCTGATGGGTTCAAACCACCGACCTTTTGGTTAGCAGCTAGGCACCTAACCACTGTACCACCAGGGCTTTTTTATATAATGGCAGGAAATGCTCTTAAAATTGACAATATGAATAGCATTATGTTAAGTGAAAGAAGCCAGTCACAAAAGACCACATACTATATGCTTCCATTTATATGAAATGCCCAGATGCAGACAAAAAGCAGATTGGTGGTTGCCTAGGGCTGGGGTAGAAATGGGGACTATCTGCTAATGGGTGCAGGATTTCCTTCTGGGCTGATGAAAATGTTCTAAAAGGCATTGGAATGTACACTCTCAATGGGTAAATTGTAAGATATGTGAATTATATCTAAATAGAGCTGTTAAAAAATTGACAATATGTTGCCAGTGGCCATTTAAGCAAGGCATTAATATAGAAGCTTCATACCATTTGTGAAAAACAAAAAGGAATAAATATACACATAACTATAAGCCTAGACTATCTCCTGAAGGAAACACAAGAAACTGGTAACAACTGTTGCTTCTGCAGAGGGAGACTGTCATCCTGGAAGTTAAGGGTAAGAGGGAAACCCACCTTTCCTGTCTACCTTTTGGTACAATTTAAATTCAGAAGTGCATAAATTGCTTTATTTTAAAAAGCAAAGCACTTAACAGATCAAAGTTCCAGCTATATACATTTACTTTTTACATGTGATAGACTTTAAAAAAAAAAAAAACTAAAGAATCATTTACTTACAATTCATCGGGTCTGTAAGGAGGTGGACTTTCAAAAGGCCTTGAAGACATGGCTGATGTCTGGTCACCTGATCTTCAGGATGAGCAACACCTGGTAGCTCCCAAGATAAGCCAATCTAAGCAACAAAAGGAGGGTAATGGAATTATTATTGAGCTCAGAGTTTCCTTACATCAGTAAGAAACTAATGATACCAATCTCCAAGTAACCACTCACTACGAGGTTACTTATCCTTTCCATTGCTATTTTTACATGTTGGACCATTAATTCCTTGAGCACAGGACATCACTGAGCTTAGGAGTTATCCAGCTTGGTATTCTTCATAGCACTTACCATCATGCTCTGCACATCACTGACATACAAATAAAATATTTTTTAAAATTGAAAATCTAAGTTATAGTAATGATAATTTCACAAAGCTTTTACAATATAGGTAAGATGATTTTTTTTAAGTAGTCATTTTAAAGAACAGGAAGATGTGTAAAGAAAAATGACATAAAAATTCTCAAATTTATTCAGTTTCATATTACTTTCATATATAAAATGAGAATGCATATGAAAGTGCATATATATAGTAGTATCTAGCACATACTATAGCAGGTCAGCAAAAAAGAGGAAGACCCTCAAAGAGATGGAATGACACAGTGGCTGCAACAAGGGCCTCAAACATAGCAACAATAGTGAGGATGGCACAGGATCAGGCAGTGTTTTGTTCTGTTGTACGTAGGTAGGGTTGCTATGAGCTGGAACTGATTCTGGAGCACCTAACAACAGCAGCAGCACATACTAGCCCCTCAATGGTAGCTAAAGCATAATCTAATCAGTTAAAAATTATGTCTTTATCATTAAAGGTGACTACAAAACTTATCTATGGATGGTGGAATTGTGAATATTTTTCCTTATCTCCTTTTCCAAGTCTTCAAAATGAGCATTATATTTATAAAAGGAGAAAAATATTAAACATGCATTGTATTAGAGAGCCCTCTTCTAAGAGAAAAATAGTGATTTTGTTCTAAAATTCCTCAGAGCACAAATCCCTCACTATCTGAGGGGCAATTTCACTCAATCAACAAGTGTTTATTAAGTGCCCACACTGTGCCATGGAAGCCCGAGGAAGTATGAGACAGTTCTCAGGAAGGTCACACACTACCTGGACAAAGGAAACTAACAAAGAAAATAAACAGCAGCCACATCAAGCAGTGTTTAGTGCTGAACTGCATGATAAAGTGCAGTACAGGGATAACAAGGAAAGACTTAAGAATAGACCACCTGTGAAGCTGGGGTCCTGGAATGAAGGAATGAAGGGAGGGAGGGAAATCCAGGCCAAGTGTGGCTAGTTTGTGGAGGTAGGGGAGGGCAGAATATGCTGGAATACTGATGTTGTGGTTAGGTGCCACTGAGTCAGTTCCAAATCACATCCAAAGTATGTGAGATGTGGAATAGTGTAATCTTTTTAAATAAGGCTACATAGATTGGGATGTAGTGTAAACATGAAGGGCTTCAAAGGCCTTATAGGTATTTCTCATCTCATTCAGGTAGGGTATAGGGAACCAGTTCATGATTTTCCCTCAGCAGGGGAGGTATAAAGAAGTTTAATTTCAAACCATTTTACAAGGACAAACAGGACGGAGTAGGAAAGGACACCTGGAGTCAGCAGCAGTGATTTCAAGCATGCGGTGGGTGAAGGACTAGCTTGGGAGATAGGAGGTAAGAAAACTAACATTCATCAGAGATACCTACCATGTGCCAGCTGCTTTGCATAAAATTCTCATTTCATCTCAAAACAACCCTCCATGGTTGATTAGCCACTTTATAGGTACAGAGCTGGTCAAGGATGTTAAGTAATTTGCTCAAGGTCATGTGGAAGTCAGGGATGTTAAGTAATTTGCTCAAGGTCATGTGGAGGTCAGGGATGTTAAGTAATTTGCTAAAGGTCATGTGGAGGCTAGTAAGCCACTGAGCTACAATTTGAACCCAGATCTCGTGTGCTTTCCACTACCACAAGTATAAAGAATGAGTTCCTTTTGGGACATACTATTTTCTGTGTGCAGTGGAACATCCTGGTGTTAATGTCCACTAAGCAGTGAAGCTGGGAGTCATCTACCTGGTTCCACAGGCAGGTCCATGGGCACAAAAAACTCTCCAGGAAAGAGACTCAAGAGCAGCAATACTTGGTAAACACAGTCACCAAACCTAAAAAGCTTCACGTCTATTCTAGAAAATCCAGTGCTGGAGACACTGGCAAGGTACCTGTCACAACAGCTACAGCACATCTCCTATTAAGAATATTAAACCAGCTCCAGGTTACACCAGTGATTAGTAAAGAAGGGAACTTTCAGATCCACTAGAATATAAACTCCATGAGAACAGGAATTTTTGTCTGTTTTGTTCACTGATCAAAAACAATGCCTGGCATACAGTTGTTGTTGTTACATGCCGTCAAGTCAGTTCCAACCCATAGCGACCCTATGTACAACAGAACGAAACACTACCCAGTCCTGTGCCATCCTCACAATCATTGCCATGCTTCAGCCCCTTGTTGCAGCCACTGTGCCAATCCATCTCATTGAGGGTCTTCGTCTTTTTCATTGACCCTCCACTTTACCAAGCATGATGTCCTTCTCCAGGGACTGGTCCCTCCTGATAACATGTCCAAAGTATGTGAGATGCAGTCTTGCAAGGCATAGAGTAGATGCTCAAATATGTTACATGCTTATATGAGTCAGACTGGACCATGTATATTTTGCCTGCAATACCTCTTGTGCTTTCAGGTTGAAGATAATAGAAAAGTAACAGATTAACTTTATGAGGTATTACTCCTGAACAACATCTCAGAAAGACCTATAATCTGAATATATTAAAGTGTCTAATTTTTTACCGTTTCAAATAAGGTCTGTGCAATCTTACATTACCATTTTAAGAACAGTTAATCAATTTGAACTCTTTAAACTTTTCTTCTTTAAAATAAATGGCAACTGTCCCCCAAGTTCTTAAGGACAGCCAATTCCAAATTCCTCAGAATAAAATATTATCCAACTGTGCAAATGACTTGAATAAACATTTCGCCAAAGAAGAAATTCAAATGGCCAACAAGCACATGAAAAGATGCTCAATATCATTAGTCATTAGGGAAATGCAAATTAAAACCACAATGAGATATCACTTCATACCCACTAAGATGGTTTTGATAAAAAAAGCAGAAAACAAGTGTAAGGATATGGAGAAATTGGAACCCTCATCCACTGCTGGTGGGATTGTAAAACGTTACAGCTGCAGTGGAAAACAGTCGGGTGATTCCTCAAAAAATTAAACATACAATTATCAACAATTCCACTCCTAGGCAATGCACATAGGAATTCAAAGCAGGAACACAAACAGATACATTTACACCAATGTTCACTGCAACACCCACAATAGCTAAAAGATGGAAACAACCTAAATGGAAAAATGGATAAACATGTGGTACATACATACAATGAAAAATTACTCAGTCATAAAGAAAAATGAAGTCCTAATACTTGCTACAACATGGATAACCATTGAAATCATGCTGAATGAAGTCAGTCAGTCACAAAAGAAAAACTACTGTGTGATTCCACTTACATAAATAATCTAAGTGATACAAACCTAAGTTTATTAGTGGTTACTAGGGGCAGATGGGAGGGAGTGGGAAAGGAGGACTCATTACTTACCGGACACTGAGTTTCTGTAAGGGTGACAGAAAATTTTGGAAATGGATAATGGTGGTGAATACATTTAATGCCACTGAATTTTATATATGAAGAATATTGAAATGGCAAATGTGTATATATATGTGTGTGTGTATATATATATACATACATATTCTTGTGTGTGTGTTGCTGTCAGGTGCATACCAGGTGTTATGGACTGAATTATGTCCCCCCAAAATATGTTGTAAATCCTAACCTCTATGCCTGTGGTTTTGGAGCCCTTGTGGTGCAGTGGTAAAGAGCTTGGCTGCTAACCAAAAAGTTGGCAGTTTGAATCCACCAGCAGCTCCTTGGAAACTCTGTGGGGCAGTTCTACTCTGTCCTGTAGGGTTGCTATAAATTGGAATGGACTGAATAGCAACAGGTATGCCTGTGGTTATAATCCCATTTGGGGTGGGGTATCTTTATGTTAATGAGGCAGGATTAGTGTAGGGTGTATCTTGAGTCAATCTCTTTTGAGATATATAAAGAGATTAAACAAGCAAGTGAAGGAGAGATGGGGTAAGATAGATACGAAGATACATGGAAATATCCAAGAAACCAGGAAGCAGAAGCAGAAGCTGAAGAAACAATAACTTCAGAACCAACAGAGAAGACAAAACCTTCCCCTAGAGCCAGCGCTCTGAATTCAGACTTCTAGCCTCCTAAACCGTGAGAAAATAAGTATCTGTTTGTTTAAGCCACCCACTTGTGGTATTTCTGTTATAGCAGCACTAGGTAACTAAGATACCAGGTGAAACCTCACAGAAGGGAATATCAGAAATACTAGTAGCATAATACAATTAGCATAATTTCCCCAACACAGTGAAGGAAGGCAATTTCTCTACATTCTTTTATTTTTAAAAACTTTTTATTGAAGCATATCATACATACAGAAAAGTGCACAAATCATAAACATACTCAGCCTTGTAAATAGCACCCAAGTCATGAGATATCACTTCATACCCACTAAGATGGTTTTGATAAAAAAAAGCAGAAAACAAGTGTAAGGATATGGAGAAATTGGAACCCTCATCCACTGCTGGTGGGATTGTAAAATGTTACCGCTGCAGTGGAAAACAGTCGGGTGATTCCCCAAAAAATTAAACATACAATTATCAACAATTCCACTCCTAGGCAATGCACATAGGAATTCAAAGCAGGAACACAAACAGATACATTTACACCAATGTTCAACCAAGTCAACTTCTCTATATTCTAATGCGTCTGACTAAATTCATTCAGCATAATGCCTTCCAGATTCCTCCATGTTATGAGATGTTTCACAGATTCATCGTTGTTCTTTATCGTCAAGTAGTATTCCATTGTGTGACTATACCATA